CCTTGTTGATGTCACAGGAGAACGAGCAGGAAGCTGACAGGAAGGAAACGAGAACTCAAATAAGCTCGTGAGAAGACCATCTCTGTGCCTTGAAGCAGATGTGCTCCAGCAGCAGAAGACCACACTAGGAAACAACGACTGACACAGACTCATAAAACAGGACAACAGCAGATGGAAACCGTTTCCTGATTTCTGCTGCAAATGCATGAAAGCCTGGATTGGTGCTCAGGCTGCGGTGTGATGGTGCAGTGGTGGGATGGTGCGGTGGTGGGATGGTGCGGTGGTGCGGTGGTGGGATGGTGGGATGGTGCGGTGGTGCGGTGGTGCGATGGTGCGGTGGTGGGATGGTGGGATAGTGCGGTGGTGTGATGGTGTGGGCATTTGGGCCCCTGACCACGCTCACTGTGCCCTCCCTGTGTGACCTCAGTGACCTCTACTATCCTCTTTTCTGCTGTTTTCTCCCTTTGCAGAGCACCGTGCACGGTCAGTGCGTCACTCTGGTGAACTCGAGCAGTGATGTTGCCACAGGTGTGACGCTGGTCAGAGATCTGTCCCAGTGTGACCAGTTCTACAGCAGAGAGCTGACCAACAGCCCGCTGGCCCTGCTGCAAAGACTGGTGGGAACTCAGAAGCAGTTTGTTCTTTTCTTTACCCTCAGTTTGATTTCCTGATTACTGCAGAAACAAAACTCAGACAGCTCCACACACCTTCATGATGTAACATCACCTGTAATTATTCTACTTAATGTTGTCTGTGAGCTCGCTGAGGCTGACCGCAGACCTCGTGACAGTAATGTCTCGGTGTCACAATAGTCACGAAAAAGGAGTTTAAATGGTGCAAACGTGTTTTCTGAAGTCAGGTTTGTGTTTCCAGCACAGCCCGATGTCCAAGCTGATCACAAGCACTCAAAGCTGCAGCTACCAGTTTGATCGGAGGGAAAGGCACATCACCACAGCCTCGTGCACAGAAAACCACAGCTACCGGCCGCTCTTCCACACGTGAGTCACCGCCTGACTGCATGTTTGTGTGCGCGCACAGGGCGCCGTTACGCCTCAGCTTTAATCTGCTCTGCAGGGACAGCACGGTGTCGTCGGAGCTGACGCAGGAGCTGCGCTTCCAGAGCAACAGGAGGACCAGCAACAGAGACTTCAGTGAGTGAGCTTTCCAGTCAGCTGTGGAGTTTCACAGCTGGGGATCATTGTTACCCTCACACTTAAACTGCAGCCCTTTGACCTTCTGTCTGCAGTCCAGACGAGGGTTCAGTTTTATCCGTCCCTGATGTGGTTACAGTCGCTCCGGGACAATAAGAACCGTAACAGAGTGTTGAATACAAGGAAATGCTCTAATACACAAATAGCTCAGTTATAAATGTCGAGCATTTTTTTCAGAGGTGAAATATGTGTGATTGACATTTTACTCTAAGCTGTAAAACTTTATGTTTCTCTGTAGAGCAAAAGAGTGTAACTGCTGCTCTGTGTGCTGTGCATTAGATGGAGGAGTTGTACAGGGAGAAGTCCACAGGCAGGAATGATGTCTGTGTCGTTCAGTGGTGCATTATGGGTAATCTCAGTCTCTCACTGAGCGTGCTCCTGTGACTGACCAGCACGTCATGGAGTGGGTGGGAGGTTTGTCTTTATCTTGGACAACATCCATCTCGACACCACCCTAAGGGAGTCCAGCTCCATCCCCACATTGCTGGCCTTGTGATCAGTTTATTGAGTCTGTTGGCGTCGGTGACCCTCAATCTACTGCCCCAGCATGCAACAGCATAGATGGTAGCACTGACCACAACAGACTCAGAGAAAAACCAGACAGATGTTGACGCAGTATCATAGACTCCTGTAGAGGGCAGTAACAACCACGGACCGAAAAATAAAAGAAATAACTCTGGAAGCACAACCAGCTGCACACATCTGTATTTTGTGATTTCCTTCACATTATTTCTGAAGTCGTATCAAGTTCACCAAAAGCACCAAAACATGCAGTTCTTCTAGTGTCCAGTAGAGGCAGCAGAGAGTGAGCCCCCCACAGACGTTAAAACTTTGCAGCAGAAACAAACATGGTCACAGCCTGATACACAAACAGTTTGGTCTCTGTAGATAATTTCCTGGTTTGTAACACCTGTTCAAATTGACTTAAGGCTTAAAGTTTGCATTACTGGGGCGTGGCCTCTTTGACTGACAGGTGGATGGTGACACAGGTGGCTGCAGCTGTCTGCTAGCTCCACCTGAACTGGACCTCTGGACCGTGTTTGTGCTGTTGGAGCCTTTTTTAATGACATTATGTGACCAATTATGAGGCTGCTGGGAGGTCACTGACTAACAGATCATCCAAGAAGTCTGACTTTGAGTTTTAGTGAAGTTTGAGGATTTAATTTGGACAACAAAATATTGTCAGTTCTGAA